CTGGCCTTCAGGGCCAATGCCAACCCAGGGCCCTAGACATGGATATGAAGGACAAGAATGTGGCCTGCCAGAAAAAGATTTACTCAGGGGCTGAAAAGCCATGTTTGGTCTCGTACAACAAAGGCTATTATAATGGTAACTCTGTGTTCTAAATTCCTTCACATCTGTCACAAGGAACCTCTGGGTGGAGGGGTGTGTGTGTGTGTGAGTGATATGCCTTGGGTGGAGTGGGGGCAGAGAAGACGACTTCCTTGTCTTCCACCCACACAACAACCCTTTAGAATATGTCCTCCTGAAAGGCAAATAAGTACAGATCTGATTTCCAAACCTCACTGTTGGAGAGAACTTCTTGTTTTCACTCTCTGCTTTTTAAAACAGATGAATGCTCCCCTAGGGGAAAAGCAGCTGTAAATATAGAAGAGGGTAGAAAAAGAATCCTGCTACGAGTTCCAGAGGAACTATTGTACTGTTGTAAAAGATGTTCTCAAAAGAAACAACACACCCTATTCCAAATAGAAAACACACAACTTCATCCAAAGTCCTCTAAAGTGTACCTCTGGGCAGATGATTTACCTACACTGAGCAGCTACTACCTCCTCTACCTGACACTAAGACCTTCACATATAAAATGAGTTAGCAGTTTTCTTCCTGGGAGCCTTAGAAATAACTAGACCACAACTCAGTTCACTGCCAGAGTGTCCTCCATTACCATCAACACTATTATCACCTTCATCGTCATCATCATCATCAAAGGACTTACTTGATTACCAAACTACTGCTGACATTTAAATAAACTTAAGCCATTATCTATTCAGGCAAACTCAGACCATAATATTTACTAGTTGAGAACAGAATGGGAAGAGGGTATAAATCTGAGAAAGGTGGCTTCTACACTTACTACTTTTCAAAAGCAACAGCATTTTTCAAAGGCTGAGGATTCTGTGAAATCACCCACTGGCTTGTTATAGCCCTCCATCCCAACAGTAGTGGGGATGCCATCCCAAAATCCATTTACCAAAAATAAAAGATGTAAAGACATGTTTTGGATAAAGTTTGTACGAAAAAAATTCAAGCAGCTTCTATTTTCGTTCAAGCTACAATCACATGAGTTTTGCCTTTGCAACCACATTTCCTACCTAGAATTCCAATAAATTTAGATGTGCCTCATAAATCTAGACTGTGTAACAGGGAATTTAGCTAGCTGAAACCATCCTAGCCCACAGATGTTACCAACCTATTTCACAGTCCTAGGTGGATCTAAGAAATGAAAGGGAGATGGAGGGGGAAAGTTAGCATGATGCTTAAAGTTCTACCAAGTCAGAAGTGGAAGATACAGCATTTAATTTCATGCAAGATTCTATGATTCAAAGAAAAAAAAGGCAACATAAGCCTATAAACCACATCAGTGACATGACAAAGAAAGAAAATGTTTCTATTTGCAGAATACATTCAAATCCCCAAACTCCTCAGAAAAATCAATACAAATGCCAATAATACAAATAAATCAAATCCTCAGCCTGACAAGTCTGCTTACTATTGCTCCTAAGAGTTCATTCTCTGAAGCTACAAGCTTCCCTGTGGCCAGGCACCTTTCACACCCTCCTTCTGGGGTGATTCGCCATGCAGAGAACCTGGATCGAACAGAGGCATCTGGCCTCACCATCATTCCCCAAGAACCCTAGTCAACTTCTAGGATAAGCACATTTTCCACACAAATCAGGGTTTCAAGAGAATCCCATGATAATACAAACTCTTGGGGTACAAGTCTGACCCTCCTGACCTTTCCACGTTCTCTCAGGTCTCGGTTACCAGAGTCCTAAAAATGGATGGTCCTTAGCCTCCAGTCCTTGCTGTGCTCCAGGCCACCCAAAATCCTACTGGGAACCGAACTCCCAAAGTACTGTCAGGTCACCTTTGACCACCAATGGTTCACATGTTTACTTCCATGCATCATCATTTCCTGACAATCTTCTATATACACTTTAAAATGCAAAGCACCCCAGCCTACCAAGAACTTGAATGGAGTCGAGGAGGCTGCAAACCCAGATAGCAATGAATCAGAATACACAATTAGGCAAGTATATCTATTTCAGTACTCTGTATGGGTGCAATAAAATGCTAACCAGTGAGATATGAATGATCAGAATAAGAAGGAATAAGCTGCAGCTATTTGTGAGTTATGAACAAAATAGTGAAAAAACAGGAAAAGGAGAAATTTATCTGAAGTACGATAACCAAAGAGGGCCTTAAAAAGGAAAGAAAGGAGATCTGACCTGAAAGCTTTGAGGGCTGAGCAAGTGTGAGAGTGGAAAGAGGGAACATTCCTTCTGGGGCAGGAATGCTGAAGCAAGCATGCTAGATGGGGGGTGGCAGGGTCAGGTCAGGGAGAGAAGCCGAGGATCAGTAAAGAACAGAAAATAAACTCCATTCTGAAATCTGTCAGGGCAAGGGACAGTTCTTGCTAGTTTCCTTAGCATCTGTCACATAGTAGACTCTAGTTATTCCACAAAGTATTAAGCATTCAACTGAATATTTAAGGTAAGGCCAGTTTGCACAGCCATGAAAAACAGACAGAGAAATTCTGCTTTGGATAAGTAGTGGAGAGACAACAAATGTTCTTGAGCAGGAAACCTGACGTAATCCAGTTCAACAAGCATTTCCTAAAAGCCTCCTCTTATATTTGAGGACCAAGAATACTCGGTCCTTACCTTCAAGGAGAACCTCTACCATGTGAAGAGATGGCAACACTACCTCCCATACACATGGGGCTTTTTTTTTCTCTTACCTAGTCTCACTGGAGAGGAGAACCGTGTTCTAGGGAGGTGAACCTGGCAAGAAAGACTAAAACCACCTGGAAGGCCAGCAGATGACAAGGTCTGGCTAGGATGGTGGAGACAGGAACCTATGACAGAAAGAACTGGCAGGGTGGGTCACTGACTAAATTGGAAAAGCTCAAAAAAAGGAGTTTGGGATGAGAGCAGGAAGACTGACGTTTTGATTCCCAGATGGTACCATTATCTTCAGGCAATGCTTTGGCTCAGTAAACACCAAATGTTAGGGTCAGTTCGCCCAGCCATTCTTCCTGTTTCTGGGAATGGAGGTTACACATTCCATCCTTCCCATCTGCCCAGGGGTTTTTTTGATGTTTTTTTGTTTGTTTGTTTAAGCTAGTTGTGATTTCCTGTAATTCTCATTTGCAAGGGGGCGAGGGGAGGGAGGTTCAATGAGATGATACAGAAAGAAGGAGCTGACCATTCTTTTGGCCATCACATCATGACAAATACATCTCAATAATCCTGCACTAAAGTTTTACTGGCAGCTCTTATTCTGGGAAGAAGAAAAAAGGAGAAGGAAGCATTACGTTTTAAAAGCCACAAGGGAAGTGTTCTCCTTACACAATGAGTTTTCCCCTTCTAGGCAAGCCTCCTCAACTGCATTTACTGAGAAAGGAGGAATGAGACAGAAGTGTTAGCCCTGACAGCAACAGGAGGGCCAGCCTGGCTCCCAGAAATGCGGCCCCTCCCTCTGAAGCCTGACCCCACATTGACCACTCTGCGGTCCCTGACATCCTAACCAGAGGAGACAAGCAGCAGCACAATAGCAGGGTGAACAGTGGTGCTCTCTGGAAGAATTGCCATTAACCTCTATTTCCTAATCTTTCTTCCAAAAACAAGCATAAGATGTAGTTTCTTAAAACTTTTTAAAAAACAAGTTACTGGGGGAAACAAATTTGAGATGTGCACCTTTACAAAGAAAAAGTACAATTTAGCTCTCTTTCCTAACCATTAAACAAGCATAAAGGGAAAAAGGGCCCAGCATTAAGAAGAAATTGTTACCTATAACACCTTGGTGGATTCTCTGCCGTATTCTAAACAAGTACTTCCCTCCCACCTGTGACAGATTCTGACTACCCTAGAACAGTCATGCTGTACCTTTCTACAGGGGCTTCAGAAACTAAAACTAGGATGTGACCTGGGAATATCTATTTTTGCAAGCATTTTCCCAGTGCCCTGTGTTAGGCTTCCTAGGGATGACAAGCAGTGTTTTACACGCCCTTGACCTGGCTGTTTCAATGGGGAGAGGGATGTTTTGCCATGCTGCAAGAATTCATTCTGTAAATGTGGTCATAATCCTACTCCAGGAACATGAAAACTCAGGATAATCATAGAAACATTATTATTAACTGGCATTTGAGTGCTTATTCACTGTGCACAGATGTAAGTATTTTACATCTAGTATCTTATTTAATCCTTCCAACAACCTTAAAAAGTAGATACTATTATCCCTGTTTTTAGGTCAAAAAAAAAAAAAAAAAAAAAAAAAAGCAGAGGGGCTAAATAACCTTTCCAAGCTCACACAAATAGAAAGTGCTAAGACCAAGATATCAAACTAAGCAGTCTGACCCAAAAGCATGCATGCAATCTTGGTAGAGCTGAAATTTACTCCACATTAAACAATGTAATTAATTTTAAATGTTAAAATTATCCTAGAAGTATTATAAACTAGGAGGTATCATCATAAAAAGAATTGTAAGTCTGAAGATTGTTCCCCTGATGCTTGCAGCTATGCACCGTCTTGAGGTGGGGTGGGACTTGGCTTGGGCAAGCAGCAGAAAGCCAACTGAATATGCACGTGTGAGGGCTGACTTTGAAAGTCTACGGTGGGCCAGGTGATGCTAAAGCATACTTTGAGCAACACTGCCTTGGGGCATTCTAGGAGACTTCTGAAGCCACTGTAAGCTTTGGGGACACAGGTCACTAGATGATAGTTAAGTCCCCTGAACTGCTAAGGAAAAAGATAATCACTTTAAGTCATAGGCACCTCATGTTAAGAAAGCTGTATGGCTAGGCGAGGTGGCTTACGCCTGTAATCCCAGTACTTTGGGAGGCCAAGGTAGGTGGATCACGAGGCCAGGAGTTCAAGGCCAGTCTGGCCAAGATGGTGAAACCCCATCTCTACTAAAAATACAACAACAACAACAAATTAGCTGGGCATGGTAGCATGTGCCTGTAGTCCCAGCTACTCAGGAGGCTGAGGTAGAAGAATCGCTTGAACCTGGGAGGCGGAGGGTGCAGTGAGCTGAGATTGCACCACTGCACTCCAGCCTGGGCAATGAAGCAAGGGTCTGCCTCAATAAAAAAAAAAAAAAAAAAAAAAAAAAAAAAAAAGAAAAGAAAGAAAGCAAGCTATTGACAGAATGGAGTAAAACAAGAATTCAGAAACATCAACTTCCAGAGCCCTCTTTACAGACATGCATTTGAGATTGCCTTTTCCCATGATCAGCATGTATGCTTGCCCCCAATTCTCCACAACTGAAATTACCAGACTAGAAGTTGCCTCAAAAAATGGGCTTGATTTTTCTGGAAAATAACTGCCAAAGATGGATACATTGCATAGTAATGCTCAAATTAACATATTCTTAATAAAAACTTAGAAAAGGGTTGAGGGGGAAAAGTTTGTGTTTTGTTTTGTTTTCATGTGTGTTCTTCAAGAGTCCAAACATGCACTTGTTTGGAAGTTGAATAAAGATGTTTCAGTTTAAGGCTTTTCCTCTGTGTTTTAGTCAGAATCACTAAGTGTCCATCCACATATGTGAGCTCACCAATTCTGTCCTTCCTCCTTGGCTTAAATTATCTGTTTCAATTGTATTACTCTCCAAGAAAGATGGCTCCAAGCTCAGAAAAGATTTCAGTAATTAAGTTGTGCAAAAATGCTGATGCTTTCTGAGGCACCAGCCTGACCGTTCTCTGCTCCTTGCTGGTCTCTGAGGGTATGTCCTGACTGCTGCCTTCCCTTGGCGGGGTGACCACCTCTACTCCCTGACTTCCACAAGATTTTTACAGTGCCCAAATGATGTTTGGCCAAACATTCAGACTACCTGGCTCTGCTACTTACCGCCTATGCCATCCTCAGCAATTTTTTTTTATCCTCTTTTATCTATAAAGTGGGTACACAAGCAATCTACTTCAAAGTTGCTATGAAGATTAAATACTCTAAGCTAATATATACAAAGCACTTATAGCAGTGCCTGGCAGAAAGAAAGCATTCAATATGTTAGCTTTTATTATCAGCCTGCCTAGTAATATTGAAGAAAGTTTTACATAAATTGAGAGCTTAATACCTTTAGAAGCAGTCTCAATCCATTACCACTACATTTGAACCTCACAACAATCATGCAAATGAGACAAGACAATGTTTATGGACACTTCCTATGGTAAGGAAAAGGAACTAGTTCAACTGCTGACTATGGGAGTTGATTACCCATCTTCCCTCATTTAGGTCAGAGATCCTGCCATCATTTTCATATACCACCCCCAACACACACACACACACACACACACACACACACACACACCACACACACACACACACACACACCACACACACACACACACACCACACACACACACACTAGCAGATGCTCAATAAAGCCACACTGACTGTAGGGTTGGTTGTGCTGTAAACACAGCAACCCCAGCCTCACGGCAAGAAGCTGGCAAACCAAAATCATCATTCCTGGGCATTCCTGGCCAACTTGAACAGAAACAAGAGGGCTGCTTTTCCCAGTCCCCGCTCTGACTCATCCCTGAAAGGAAAGGGAGCATCTGCAGGAGAGGGGCAGCCAGGAGTCACCCAGAAGTCACCCAGAGGGAAACAGCAGAAGTGCCCCTGAACAACCTGAGGTAGCAGGGAATTAGGATAATATGACGGGCATTACCCAGTCCCTCCCACTGGGCCAAATGGGAATAAATGGAGGCGATGTTTCAAAGGCAGATAATGTTGCTTTCACTGACTGAAATAGGAGCTGCCTTTCAGTAGAGTACAGGCCAGTCTATAAATACCAGGGATTAAAAGGCTTCCTGTGGCGGCCCAACCGCCATCTACCTAAATACAGAGGCTATCTGGTCCTCCAGGCTCCTCTGATCCATCCCTCAGGGAAGAAGTGCCATCATTCAACATTATACCCCCTCCAAGGGACCTCCAACCTCTCTTCCACTTCAGCTTGTTTTTGCTAACCAACCTCTCTTTTCCAAACCCTCACCAGAACCATTCACTCCCAAGTGCCCCTCCACTGCAGCTCCCACCTGGCTGTACCCTCCTTTCTCCAGGCATTTGTTCTCTGTCTCCCTCACTACCTCATCCCCCACCCCAACTTTCTAATCCACATTAGATTCTAATCCACTTTATCTGCCATAAAATAACCACAGGCAGAACTGAGCTCAGTGGCTCAATCCCAGCACTTTGGGAGGCCAAGGCTGGCAGATCACTTGAGCCCAGGAGTTCAAGACCAGCCTAGGCAACATGGAAAAACCCCGTCTCTTCAAAAAATACTAAAATTAGCTGGGCGTGGTGGTGGGTGCCTGTAGTCCCAGCTACTGGGGTCAGGGGCTGAGGTGGGGAGGTGGAGGTTGCAGTGAGCCCAGGCAGCCCCATTACACTCCAGCCTGGGCGACAGAGTAATACTCTGTCTCCAAAAAAAAAAAAAAAAAACACCTGCCACAGGCTTTGGAATCACTCCAACCTTGGTTCTAGTTCCAACATAGTAAATTACAGTACTTAATGTTTCAGAGCTCAGTTTCCTGATTTATACAGTGAAGATCAGCCTACCAAGTTAAAGCACTGAGCACGCTGCCTGGCACAGAGCACACATTCAATACTTTCTGCCTTGTCCCGGCCCCAGGAGATTTTTCTTCTTTCTTTTCTGGGATACTCTGATACAAACACTCTTTCTAGGTATCATATCTGCTAAATACAGATCTCTTAACCCAAAGAAATGACTCAAATGTTGCACACTTTCATTACCAACCGTATCTCTGTAGCAAGCATACAGCACCATCAACATCCTTCAAATTCTACTAGAGAGAGGGCTGGTCACTTTGTACTTTGCCACCACAAAAGACCCATGTGGTGAGAAAAAATGATCAGAGGGGCTGGGAAGACAGAGTTAAAAGTCACTTTGGGACTGGGCACAGTGGCTCACGCCTGTAGTCCCAGCACTTTGAGAGGCCGAGGCGGGCAGATCACCTGAGGTCAGGAGTTCCAAACCAGCCTGGCTAACATGGTGAAACCCTATCTCTAATAAAAATACAAAAATAAGCCGGGCGTGGTGGCAGGCACCAGTAATCCCAGCTACATGGGAGCTGAGGCAGGAGAATCACTTGAATCCAGGAGGCAGAGGCTGCAATGAGCCAAGGTCGTCCCACTGACCTCCAGGCTGGGTGACAGAGTGAGACTCTCTATCTCAAAAAAAAAAAAAAAAAAAAAAGAGTCACTTTGGGCAAGAGTAAGGAATAAAGTCTCTGTAAGGTAAGAGCAGCACTCCCATGAGACTAAGGCCCCCTCAAAAAGAGTCCCATAATCCCACATTTACATGTAAAAAAAATTTAAAATTAATTCTGACAGCAAGAGCATTTGCCTTTTACTAGAAATACCACCTGGTTCATTTCTGATAAGGCCCAGGCACAACTTTACATAGACCAAGGACTGCCTACAGTATGTCCCTTAAAGGTGGCATCCCAATGACAGCTCCAAGGCAGTGTGCCATGCCTCTCTCCCTGATGTCCTAAAGCTGCTCCTGCAAATTCATGATTAGGCCTAAAATAAACCCAGAGCTTCGCTCTTTTCTAAGTACCTTCTCCAAAACTTTCAGTCATTACTCTCGAATCAGAATTAATTTAAGCAAGACTATCTTCAAAAACCAGATAAATACTAGAGCAACATAATAAAGGTCCTGAACAACCTGTGTTTTAGAGGGACTTTTTTTTATCATGGTGGTAGGAGGGTTTCTTCTCCAATTCTTATTTTGCAATTATTTAAGAGTAAGAGGGTCCCTTCCATGAGGTCTTTAACATCCTCTAGGATCCACCTGTTGCCAAGCCAACAGGAGTCAGAGCAGAGTCCTCTAAAGAAGTGCAATAGACCAGTCGCAGTGGCTCACACCTGTAAGCCCAGCACTTTGAGAGGCCAAAGCAGGAGGATCATCTCAGGCCAGGAGTTCAAGACCAACCTGAGTAACATAGCAAGACAAAAAAAAATTTTTTTTTTAATTAGCCAGGTGTGGTGGGGCATGTTTTTAATCCAAGCTGCTTAGGAGGCTGAGCTGGGAAGATCACTTGAGTCCAGGAATTCAAAGCTATAGTGAGCTATAACCAAGCCACTGCATGCCAGTCTGAGCAACAGAATGAGATCCTATCTCAAAACAAAAGGAAAAAAAAGTGTGGTGACTTAGTTGGTATTAAGCATGAAAAAACGGGCGCTTCAAAGGTAGGCCCGCTCATATTTTTCACATCATGATGGGGAATTATTAAATGTAAACCCAATACCCACAGCAAGGAGATATTCAAAGAATATCTATGTTGAAAAATGAAAAGTGAACTACAGGGTTTGCCAAGCACCATTAAATGCAGATTTGGAAAAGGAAGTATTTGAAACACATGCAAAGACAAAAACTATCAAGTGCTGCAAGACTCTGTACAAATATGCACGTGCCATCTTCCAGTTCACTGTGCAAACTGAGATTGGTAAAATTTAACACTGCATTGCCTGTATTTTTAACTAATTGGTAAGTATTTCATGACCACTGTGCAGCAGGAAGAGAGCAGGGCAAATGTGGGAAGGTCTGAGAAGCAGAGAACAGAAAGGGCAAGGATAAGAAGTGTACTGTAAAAACCCAAGGTGGGAAGGTGGTAAGCTGGGGGCTTAATCAGCTCTGGCCCCAGGGCTGAGTTTAAGGAGGAGAATCTTGCACTCTCTGGAAACCATACTGAGCAGAAATCACTCTGGGCTTTTTTTCCCCTCTCAAAATGCAAATATATAGAAAAGGAGCCCACAGAGAAGCTCAAAACCTATTTCCCACCAAGACTGGCTTCAACTCAACCATTCTGTCCCATAAACAGGCAGATTGTTCTGGGAGCAGATAGAACACCATGGGAAGCACTAAAGTGGTATAGGGAGAGGCCTTCCCTAGAGAAGCAAAGCCGTCCTCATGCAGGTCGTCCAGGAATAAAGTGGAAAAGGATGAGCAGAATC